AAGAAGCACAATAATACAACACAACAACTTCAAAACTTTCATCACACAAACTGTGAGTGCACACTTTTGTTTATAAAGCTGATGAAATAAATGTTTTTCACACTTATTGTAGTTTTAGTTGAGCAGTGGCCAAAGTCATGTGATTTCTGAGTGCAAAAATCTTCAGTGGAGTTGTAGGATATCTTCTGGCCGAAGTCCAGCTGATTTTCGCAGGGAAGCTGCTGGCCAATGAATCTACATCTCTGTCTGAATATGGGATCAAAAGCTCATCTGTGGTGCAGATGGTGGCGAAGGTCCACGGAGGCTGACAGATATCATCATCGATGCACAGCAGGACTGAAATAACACACCAAAGGACGCAATGCATCATCTTTGCTAGCTGGGACTGAACTGTGTCATCTTTGGTCTTTGGTTCACTTCTACAATTTTAGGTCTTCCTTTACATTTTAAGACTTTTATCATATCTATTTAGACTTCAGCACTAATTAATTATAACAAGTTGTACATGAAGAATAAATGGAGTGTAAAGATATTTCTTTTTCTAGTTTCTCTCTTTGTTTCATTGCTAGCCTGTGTAACTTACTATTAGTTGAAATACCAAAAGCTGACAACAAATGTACGGTTACACACAGCAGCCCCATGAATATCAATGTTCCTAAAAAAGTAACACTGAGATCTCTGGTTAATAGTTATCTTGACTTTCCAGCGTATTCCCATTAATAGTCAGTTTTCATCTTGTTTACAAATAACTCTCAGAAGAGGAGAGCCACTGAGGCACCGCATCACAGCCCTGCCCATCTGGGAGTGACCCTTTCTACGAAGGAGGTGAGAGGTGGCCACGAGTAAAATAAGAAGGTGATTTTGATAATATAGGTAGATGACTTGATCATTGCTGCCAGTGACAAAAATGCACTAATTGTTTTGAAGAAAATGTTTGCAGAAAATTAAAACTGAACCATTTGGGTAACATTCACAATACATGGAAAAAATACTTGAAAGGTTCTACATGCATGATTGCAAAGCTAGAGGGACACCTTGTGAGCAAAAACTGAACTACGCTGATGGTGCTGAAAAGATGAATGATGTCAAATGTACAGAGAGGCAGTGGGTAGTCTATTTTTATACATGCACAAGACCAGACTTAATTTTATAATAAGTAAACTATCACAGTATTTTAGTCAGCCGACTGAAGACCAATGGACCACGGTAAAACATGTACTGAGATATCTGAAAGGGGCACCTGAGAAAGAACTGGGTTACAGAAAATGTGATAATGAGCAACTGAGGTTATGGGCATGCAGTGATGCTGATTGGACAGCTGATGTAACAGACAGACATATTGATGGACAGAAATATGCTCAGCCTAAGGTTTATATATAATATAATATAATATAATATAATATAATATAATATAATATAATATAATGGAGCCTTTAAACAAGTTAGTCTACTTCGGTTTGATTTGTAGCATGTTTAACAATTTGGAAAAAACATAATGTCACACACGTGACACAGTTTGTCCTGAACACCACTGAAGACTGTTATTTTTAAGCTCCACTCAGACAACACATGACTTTGGCCACTGTTTAACTAAAACTAAACTGCAAAAAGAATTTAATTCAACTCTAATAAAAATAATAACTGGAATTTAGAAACATAACAAAAAACTCAACAAAATTGTGCAGTTACACACTGTGCAACTAATTAGAATAAAATAAGGGCTGTGTTTGTCACTGAGGTCATATTTGTTAACACAGCTTGAGCCAGCTTTAGCACAAAGGTTTACTGAAAAGTCTACTTGAATGTCTGTTTTAGGTGGTTGTGTTGTATTATTACCTGGGACAGACTGGCGACCTGTCCAGGGTGTACCCTGCCTCTCGCCCTATGACAGCTGGGATAGGCTCCAGCCCCCCCGCGACCCTGAAAAGGATAAGCGGAAGCGAATGGATGGATGGATGTTGTATTATTATTTTTTTTATCCTTCTGTCACTTAAACTTCTTAATAAAACAATTGAGACCAAAACTGAAAATAATGAAAACCAAACTAAATCTGAAAATAAAATCAACAATAAAATGTAAATACTTGATATAGTGTTGCTTTTTATCTAGGGTAAAAGAAGATCTCACTTCCAGGTTTTCACTCAGTTATTGCCTGAAGCAGTTCAAAAATAATTCATGTACATGGATATCCTTCTGGTTAGAAAACCACTGTCTGCCACAGTTTGCTGTGACCAACTTCCGAAAGAGAGATGACCTTAAGTTAGCGGTACATGAAGCAGAATGTGCTTCTATCTGATTCATCAAAAACCATTGAGGAGTGCCGTAGTTTCGACTTTTGCCCCCCTTATTAGCACTCTTCTTTTCCTCCATTGGGTGCAGCTTCACCTAGGGATGGACACACATACACACACATACACTGGTCTAGTTTCATGTGCCTTAGGTAGCATCGATCTGTGAGAGGTATTGTTTCTTGACTTTGCTCTGGTTCATTCCTGCACTCGGCCGTCCACCAACTGTGCACAAACAACCCTTGATTATGCAAACCTATAACTTTTCTATGTATATTATTTTGAGTGCTCAGTAGTGAAATTAACTGGTCCTCACAATATTTTTTTCTACTTTATGTAATTGAAAAAAATTATAAGATAAATAAGGACTTTTAAATGTAGATGTTTAATACACATCAGCAATAGTTTCCCTTTTTATTCTGTTTTGAGTGTTTAGATTGACATTTTTTTTGGAAAACAGCTGTGCTGATTGACCAGTTGAGCTCTAAATGCTGATGACTAATGACTGGTATATTTAACTGTGTGCAATCAATCAACAATCTTAATGGTTTAACTGATGTATTAACTATAACAGACAAAAAACTGATTTGAACATTTATGGAGGATAACATGAGCGGATGCAGAGGGGAAAACAGGATATAGTTAAAAATTGACAAAAAAAATTACAGAATAACAAAACAAAAAAGACAAGACAAAATTCAAGGAATGCAAAATAAAACATGAACAAATGCACTGGTACTGACTGGTCAAACAAGCTGCTGACTCTCATAGAGTTTGAATTTACTGAATTTCCCAGAGGAACCCACCCGAGTGATTAATAAAGTTCAATATAATCTCTAATCTAGAGTATAGAGCAAAGCTTTAATGTTGGTACTGTAATATCACAGCATCATCATACAACACAGAAAATGATCCTAACTGCAGAGGGAAATATCATTTTCATTCAGAAAGCTTTGAAGTATTTGAAGCACTGGCAGATTTTAAAGTTGTGTTACGAAAAACACAATAAACTCCAGAGAAAACATTCAACACAAATGTGCTTCCAGCAGCTGGCTCGTCTGAGTTTGTCTGAAACATCTGCTGACATCTGGTTGAAAGAGCAGGAGGTCAGCTGATCACAGCCTGTACACTATGAAAATCTACTGGAGGTCTAAATAGAAATTATTTTGATTTATGATTCTTTTATTCACACTAAGTACAATTAGAATGAAAAAAAGTTAGACTGAAGTTTGTATTCCTATCTAGTGATATTATTTTATTATTACATCCATATAAGACAAGGTTCAGTTAGCTTTGCACAAAAATAGAAACATCCTTACGTTTAACTTTCTTACTTTGAGCAGACTCTGTACTTTTTTACATTTACTTGAGTAAAGAAGTTGAATCAGTACTTGTACTGGAGTATTTTGTAACAGTACTATTTGTACTTCTACTTACGTACAGAATGTCTGTACTTTTGCCTGAAGAAGACCTTTGCAAAAAAAAAACAATTTTATATGTACTTATAATAAATAAAGATGAAAACCACTGCATGTTTTCAGTTGGTTATTACATGCGATTTTAAATAACCTGGGAATTAGAGTGAAATATAAATGACACAGAATTCAGAAAGTTTAAACTCAAATCATTATTCTAATTACAGTATAAAATAAACCTATCAAATCAGAAAACTGTTTATTTTGAAAATCATTCGCAACAAGTTTATACCCCTCAGCCATAAAAGGCTAATGGGCTGGCTCGGACACCCAAGTTTCTGAATGTGATAACTTGTGAAGGAGGTGATGTAGGATTTTGGAATTGATAATGTAGGTGTATCTACGGCACTAAAAATCTTGCATGAGTTCAGGTATCAGTGACCTCCGACCTCAAGGTCATTCTCATGATTTAGTCGTCCCTTTGCTGCTCATCTACATACAAAATTTGCAACCCCCCAACATGGTGTTCAGTCCCATTTAACCTAACTTAAGTTGGTGTTAAATGCATACATTTAACATTTAGCAGACATTTGTGTTATTCTCACAAAGCAAAGAGTTGTTGTCTCTGCTTCTTGAGATCAAAACAATTCAAGTGGTTAAAATTGAAATGTTCACATCTTTTAAGTATGTAAGTATCTGTATAGGTCAGAATTTCTCATGCAAGACTCCCACTGAAATCTGTCCACACCGTACCATGAAGACTGGATGGTGTTTAAAAACATTTGTCTAACTGGAAGCACCTTTCAAAGCTCTAATTCACAGACCTCATGTACAGAGTAAACAAAGTTCCACCTGGTGGCTAAAGGTGAACAGGTCCAGAGATAAGAGGCAGATAAACTTTGACTAATCTAATTTTACAATATTTAATGTATTTAAAGTGGGGTTTTTTCAATGTAGGGAATGAATTATTCAATGTGTTTCAAAGTGCACCATGTTTTCATTCTTTTTATCTTTTCTTAATATTCTTCTGTAATAATTTAGTAATTTTTTCTGTCAGTTATTGTGCTATTTATTTTTGTTCATTCGTTTATTCTAATCTGTATTTTAGCTTTACGACCTGTAACTAAATGTTTAAAATTCAGACCAATTTAGAAGATAGAAGACCAATCATCATGTAGCTACAAAAAATAAAAACAAGAAACAAAATGGCTATCCGAGTAGTATAGGTGCTTAATATCATGAAGCTAATGCTAAAGATGCAGCAAATGACAGGTTAACATAAAAAAATAACTAAATCTAAGAATGAGTAACCACAGAATGTATGATTAACTTGTTTTCAAATTTATGAATGAATGACATTTTTCAAGTTTATTGTCATTATGATTCAGAACTGAATAAAAAACACAGCATTGTATATCATTAGAGAAAAGGCATTCACACATTAAAAGTGAAACTTGAGAGCTTTGTGTCTTTTAATTATTTCTTCTTCCATACAGGTATCGATGTCTGTCTGGGGGCTACGCCACTGGAGCATGCTGCATAAGGGCCACTTGTTTTCATGCATTCAGTAAAGATCTTCAGGCACACAAAACAGAACTTCACCTTACATCGAGGACAAACAAGCGATTTACAATACTTCTTATTGTGCTCCACTAGGAAGCCACAGGTGAAACAGGCACGTACAGAGGGACACCCGTGGACTCCCTTCACTGAATCAAATGTGATATCTGGGCAGGTTTGTAGTACTTTTAGTGACTGGTTGCAGCAGCCATAATTTTCACAGCGGTCCTTCCGAGGCCGTGCACCCTTCCACTCCCTCAAACACTGCCAGCAGAATTCAAACGGCCGTCCTTTCACTGCTGTGCACACTTTACAGAGGACATTCAAATCTGATCCATTCTCTCTCATCAAAGTGGATCTGCATCCAGGACACTACATGGATTCAGGAGAGTGACAGTATTTAATATGCAGTAAAATGGTTTATAAGAAATACATTTCTGTTTTCATGAAATAGTAGTATTTTAGTGAGATACTTACTGCTTTAGTAATAAGTGTCTGCCTGTTAGTGTTGACTGCCAAAGTCTTCTGAAAATGCTCAGTTTCTTCCAGGGTCAGCAGAGCCATTTTACAGACCTCTGAAAAACTCCACTCAGCACTACAACCAGACCCGCCACACACAAATCTGCTTTCACCCTTTGTTGAAATAATCACAGATAATTTATCAGACTCACTCCAAAGAAGTTGATGATACCAGCGAAAACCCCCAGCATCATATCCAGGAGAAGTCAAGGTAGGCTGTCATTTTCCCAAGGAGGCACATGAGAAACTGGGAGGGAGGATGGCCACAAAAACTAAAAGATTTGGCTCACCGTTCTGAACCATGCACTTACTAAACTTTTCTTTGAAGACACATTAGTGTAGAATAGCAACTGATCAGCAGATACATTAATAACTTGTGTTTTTGTTTTATTCAGAAGCTGAAGGCCTAAAGTAGAGGTGACTGGGTGCCTTTGGTGGTGGGATCTATTTCCATATGCCGTAGTTATTTATCCACCACTGGTTTGAGCTACACTTCAGTGTGAGTGTA